AATTATAATTTATAAAAATAAAGCATAATAATCAAATAATGTATACAAATATATATATTTGTGTGTGTGTTTAAGTTAGATTTTATAGTAATGACATATATAATATAAATAAGTACTATATATATATATATATATAATAACATTGTTAATTTTATTATTCTTATTAGCTATTTAATCATTATTTGAATAATTATATGAATATTTAAATATATATGTATTTATTTAAAATGTAATTGTTAAATAGTAATAAAGTAATTATTATTTATATAACATTAACAATTATAATTACTATAAAATATAATAATTAAAATATTTGTATTTTAATTATTTAAAAATATAATAATATTATCATTTATATTCTTATTAGCTATTTGATAATTATTTTAATAATTACATGAATATTTAAACATGTATTATTTAAATAATTCTTATAATTTACTAATAAAAAAAATGCAAAAATGTATTATTTTACCATTAGTAACTTATGCATTCATCTCGATTAAACATCTGTATTGCCCAAATAAACTCTTACACATTTAATATAACAAATAAATTCCTCTAATTACATAATTTATTTGACTAACTGCACTGGGGAGCACAAATCGCAGACATTTAAACCTCAAACGATGATGAAATCAATACGGACGCTTTAGATGATGGAGCAATAAAACACAAAACAAGCTCAAACTTGGATTCACTGAGCAAATTGCAAAAAAAAGAAGAGAGTTTAAGCGTCGTTTCCAACAAAATTTGATATTGTTTTGGTGTTTAGTGTTTCAAAGCGTTACACTAAACAGAAGGAAAAATTCAGATCAGTAATGGGTGGCATTATGAAAATAAGCACACATCTTTTATATGCATCTAATTATCATTTGGAAGCGGTTTGCTGGCCGAGTCCCATGCGGTTGCTGGTGGGGAATACAAATGCAACAAAAACAGGATTGTGGAAAGCGCCTTCGGCTCTGTGGAAAGCCCATTACGGAGGGAAATGGCTCTTGTCCCTGAGAGGACACCGTAGGGCTTGTGTGGTTTATAACTCTGCTGGTCTGCGTTACCTGAGAGTCTTCTGGAGGACGGCCCAGCAGTCTTTCACCTCGCTCTGCTTCTGTGCGACGCGGGCCGCCAGCGCCGGGTGCAGGTTGGAGAGCTGGGAAACGCTCACATCCAGCATCTGAAACCACACAGAACGACAGTAAAACAAACACGGCCGTCAGGATGGTGTTTGACACAGAGCTGGACCGTGAACTAACGCATTTAGGGTCAAGCGTGTGACTATAATGGGATGTGAATGTTGGTTCGCACACCATGATTTGACTGGCAACGTCCCGGATTTCCCCGTCTCTGGCGTTTTCCACTCCGTTGCTCGCAGAGAGGCTTTTTCTCTGGATGAGAAGTTAAAAAAGGAGAGCAAACCGTAAATAACATTCTTAGATTACATCAGCATGTCAACAAACAGACACAGTCGGGTTATGTTCGTATCAAAGGACACGTCGAAGTGAAACGCCACAGATACTGGGTTTCCTGCAGGGTTTGAACAGAAATAGCACAATGGAGCTAAATGACTACCATGTTGTCGATGGAACAGACAATGTTATCGGCCTGCTGGTAGAAGGACGAGACTTCGAGGGCGAGCTGGAGATTCTCCTGATATTCTTTCAGGTGCGACTGGGCCTTCAGCCACCTAGGTAGTTAATAAATTAAAAAATGATTTGATTGTTAAATTATAATTATTTGAGTAATTATTATTATTTGTGTATGCATTATTTAATTATTCATATAATGATGTGATATTATTATTAGCTTTGAATATTTTTTTGTATATTTATGCATGTATTTGTTTATTTATATAATATATACATACAAAAATTATAATTATATGTATGTATACATAGAGTGGAGGTCAAAATTAGAGAACAATCAATAAGTACTTGATTTTTTCTGAAATATTGTTAATCATCATCGCTCAAAACTTGAAGGAATGTTAGCTGTAGGTATACCACTGTTATACTAACATGTTTGACAAAATAACCAAAGCATTTCAACAAAATCTTTATTTTGTGGAAACACAGTGATCAAAATCAGAGTACAGAAACCACTGTAGCAGGAAAGAAGATTACAACTAATATTTTGGAGGGTTACAGCTGTCAGAAATCAGTAGGAATGGTAGAGGCCCTGCTTTGAGTGACTTCAGCACATCTCTAGTTTCTCACACTGCGCTGCTGTGATCTTGCTCCGCTCTTCTTCCAGTCTCTTCTATAGTTCGGTGACTGTAGTGGGTTTCTTAGCCAGAACTTCGTCGCCAAGGATTTTCCAGAGATTTTCAGTCGGGTTTAGATCAGGACTCTGGGCCGGTCATTTCATTATTTCAGTGTTTTCAGCTTCAAGAACTGCTTTACCCGTTTTGCAGTGTGACGGGAACATTGTCTTTCGATTGGGAGATGCTTGCAAGGAAAGAACTGCATGTTGCTGAAGGAGGTTCTGATAAACATTTGCATTCACCTGCTATGTATCTGTGTAAGAGATTAAACTCCTGCTGCAGAAAACATCCCTCAAACCAACACACTTCCTCCTCCAGCTTTCACTGACTTCTTTACGCACTCGGGCTCTCATCACTAAAGTGAACTTTGGACCAGTTCTCCTCTCTCCACACAACATGCTCCTCAGCAAAGGTGAGTCTAGCCTTTTGATTCTTTCTGCTGATGAGAGGCTTGATCTCTGCAGAGAGCACTTTCAGTCCGACTTCTCTTAAATGAGCCGAGACAGATCCAGACCCTGATCGGCGCTGAACTGACGAGCAATTCCAGCTGCAGTGCTGAACCGATTCCCCATTGAGAGTCTCTGCATTATCCTGTCTTCTCATTCTATTGTCTTACGTGGATGAACCAGCCTTTTTGGGGGACTTGAATGAATTAGTGTCATTGTAAACCTGCAATATTCGAGAAATCACATATTTGGAATGACCAGCTTCTCTTGCAGTGGCTGAAAGGCTCGTCCCTTTAGCCTTCATCTGGACAACCTCTTTAATCCTCCTTTATAATAAATATGCCATTGTTTACCAGTGGTGGACGAAGTACACAAATCAAGTACTTGAGTAAAAGTATAGATACGTATAATAAAATATTACTCCAGTAAAAGTAAAAGTACTCAGTTTTCAAT